TTGGAGTAATGGATGGATGGCGATCAGAAGTCTCAAAGGTTTGGGGTATTTTTTATTGTTTTATCTTGACTGCCAGGCACAGCAGAAATGTTTTCTATAGTCTTTAATAAGGAAATATCACTTAAGACACTCTTACCATATGCACAAAAGCAATCACAGACGTGTGACATTCATTTTAATGTACACTGTCAACAGATGTCATGTAACAAAGTCTCTTGAGCCTTTGGATTCTCTGTTTTTTCCTCATTATGAGCTGCTGTGGTGAGAGGTGACTGTACAAAGCTTCTTGGTCGGATCCATTACTACATGTTGAGGCATGTTCAAACAATCCACCTGAGCGATAAACTCCTCCAACTCCTTATTTTCCACCTCCCTCCTTTTGCTGAACAGGCACAATTCCTTTGTCTTTATTGTTGGTGCTTCCATGTTGAAGCTCAAGATCACGCAGTCGGCACAGGACGTTTGGTAGAAGGTCCCACTGAAGTTATATATCTGTCCAACACTGAAGTTATAGTGAGCGCCTTGTATTGAGACGTTGTGTGAAAAATAAGAGCACCGCTCACTAAAACGATTGGTTTTGATGAACGTTGAGTTGAAGAATTCAATACTTATGCTGTCAGATGGTTCAATCAACACTTCAGCTTGGATGGTTTTCAGGCTGTTTGCAACCATAGCCCATTTTCCCTCCAAATTACGAATATCCAGTTGATCCAAAGGCTTGAGCAAGTCTGAACAGTCCAGAGGAGCTGACTGGCTCACAGACATCAGGCAGACAAGAGCGATGGCACACACAGCAAACATGTCTCTGTAAGTTGAAGTCATATGACTGCACATCTAGAATCAGTTACATGCAGTGTCTACCTGAAAGTGGTGCCAGTAGTGGCTTGTGGTTTTATAGTTGCATCTGAAAAATCCAGTTTCACAATACCGAGAGAGCAGAGTCCACCTGTGTTCTCTGTGATGGTAAAATAAGAATGAATTGAATGCTGTAAATCTTGATTATTTACACTGCCTTACATGTAAGTAGTGAAATTACTGCGACTCCTTTTGTAAATAGCAGCCAATAAAATCTTTTTAATCTTATTGGCTCAGAAAAAGAGCTACAACTTCAATATATGTATTCTGTTTGTTGAAATCACTATAAAACCTAATATGCTCTGTTAAATGGATTGAGGATACTTCTACCTCGTCGCAGTTGCACTGTAGCTTTAAAGTAAAATGATTCAATTTCACACTGTAAACTATCGTTTCTGTTTCGCAATACCTACTATTGTTTTAGCAATTCTGAAACAGCAAAGATCGATTTCTGGGAAAGTTCAGCTTAGTGGAATAATTCTGTGAACCAATTCTTATTTCCAGTCAAAACACCAGTATCACCTTTGCAACAGTACACACAAGCTGCCCCTTTAGACTCATTGCTTTTATTTCACACTAAAAAAAAAACACTGTGACAAACTATACATATACTGTTAAACTCTGTATACACATTGTAAGTATTCATCTGTTTAGTTGATCAAAGAGATTAACAGTGCATAACCAACGGGGTATGATCTTTACTCGGTAGCTTTTTGGTCTTCCTTGTGCCAGATTAATCTAAGACATAGGTTTTATGGCTACGCACATAATCCTTTTCAGTAGTCTCCAATTAATGATAATTGAGACATTAAATGGAGAATACGTCATCCAAGAACAGAAACAGCAAAACTTTCCTCGTCTTTCCATAGCCTGGTCAGAACAAATGTCAATGTTTATTAATACACT